TATACTGATAACGAGTTCAAGCAGGTGCCATTAATACAGTTAACGAGTGGAGGACAGAGGAGGCTCTTAAAGAAGAAGTTACAGGTCTGTGAGAGCCAGAAATCTTGTTTGTTTGTAGGTGACCAAATACTTATTTTACCGAGGAATTTACCAATTAATTCATTAAAAATCCTACAATGTGATTTCCTGGATTCTTTCCCCCCATTCTGTCTCTCATAGTTGAAGTGTACCTAGGATGAAAATTACAGGCCTCTCATCTTTTTAAGTGGGAGAACTTACACAATTGGTGGCTGACTAAATACTTTTTTGCCCCACTGTATATATATATTACGTCTAACAAGGACATCATATATTGCTACATCGATGCCTAGAAAAACTACAAGGGCAATAGCACAGCACATATCTGCCAAAAGACCTTTTCTGCAAAGCTAAAGAGAGTGAAAACATATTTTTGGATCCGGCCCACGATGGCTTCTTACTTAGCCCATGCTACACCCTTCCACCAATGAAAATCACATTACTAGTTTTCCGTAATCAAGATGTAAAGAGATAAACAAACCGAAAAGAAACCATAATCTCCTTGGAGACAGCAATCAAACAGATTTTGATGTCTGACTTGAGCATTTATGCCTGAAATGTTTCCAGACAGTGTTCAAGAGACTTTCTGTACGTCTTTATTCTTCAATGTCCGTCAGATTAAGATTTAAACATTCTCAGCAGCTTGTCTATCTTCATCAACAATAAACAAACCATCCTGGCCACATTTACAGTGTTATTGTATCTCTCTTTACTGATGGTCTTCTTGTGCTGAGGAAGGGTTGCCCTTAGTTGCTGCATATGTTTGAGGTTATTGGGAGGCTGAAGAGAGAGGAGGGAAAAAGGGGAAAGTGTGAGAGGAGGATGTGCAGGAGAGGGAGAGGACATGTGGAGAGAGGGAAGAGCAGAGGAAGAGGTGTCAGTGGTGCAATGCAGTGCTCACCACCCCACCCAGACACACACTCACATGTATACTATACTTATGGGGACACTTCATACATGCCCTAAAGAGTAATTCAGTATGTATACATTTATTCATATGAAACACTGGTATACAAATTAAAATACTATCCGATAGGGTTGTGGCTAAAGATTATTCCCTTAACCTATTAATCTGCAGATTTTTTTCTAGATTCATGTATTAATCGTTTGGTCAAAGTGTAAGACATTAGTGAAAAATGTACATTCAAGTTTCTCAAAGTCCAAGGATAAATCTATCGATGTCTTTTTTTGTCAGTCCAAAATCCAAAGATATTTACTTTAATATAAAATAGGGAATAATATAATATTTGAGTGATTGAAAATAGCATTCTCTGACAATTTTGCATGGAAAAACGGAAACATAAAAATCTACTTTTATCCAAAAAGTCTATCGTCAAATACTGTTAAAGAAAGGTACACAATATAAGGATGTATGATTGTATGAACCTTGCATGCAGTTATGAAGGTCTTCAGAAGTATGCTAACACAAACATTAGCGTGTGTTGGAGTGGAGTGTGTTGGAGGTGTTGTTGATCCTCCTGCCCTCCCCCAATAAACACGTTTTTTATTATTTAAAAAAAATATTTTTATTTTTTTTAATTATAAACGGTGAACTGTTATGCTACGATGTATGTGATGTCAGATAGTAACTAAAACAAAAAAACGCAGGCTACTTCAAATAAATTCATGTGTCTGTTGTGATTTGTGATTCGTCCACATTTAGACCAATCACAGCGTCACACTCTGCCGCCTATTCTGGATTTGTGTATTGTTTATTGTGCATTCTGTAGAGTCCCATTTATGTTTGAATTACACAATGGACATCAGAAATTGGCTTAAAAGGTCTAAGGATTTATTAAAACGAAATAGCGATGAAAGAACTGCAGCCGATGCAGCTGCTGGCAACCCTGCACCTGCCGTTGCAGCAGCACGCCTTAATGTCACAAGCTTGACCTCGGCAAACCCCGGGGCTGAGTTAGCGAGCCCAAGCCTTGACTCATCAAGGCGGCCGCCACAAACGCTGTCCTCCGAGGCACAGCTCCTTGTGCCCCTACCATCACCACCTGCGTTGCCACACCCTGTCCTCCTCCTCCTCCTCCTCCTCCTCCTCCTCCTCCTCCTCCTCCTCCTCCTCCTCCTCCTCCTCCTCCTCCTCCTCCTCCTCCTCCTCCTCCGTGCCGGTGCCTCCACTACAGACGCTACCTTGCAGCACATCAACAGGTACTATTGGGCCAGCAACCGCTCAAAGACCAACAGCCCCAGATGATCTTGGGGTTAATAAACCCAAGCAGGTGAAACTGGATCGTTATCAGGGAGATTGTTTTCAGGAAAGAAGCGCACTTTTGCCGCTGCATGGTACAACAACAGACCGGCTTGAATATTCGTTAAAAGCAGATGCAGCCTTTTGTTTCCCCTGTAGACAGTTTAAAGTAAATACGTCTTCATCTGATGCGGCTTTTACTGTCAAAGGTTTTTTCCACTGGAAACACGCATTACAGACTGATAAAGGACTGCTAAGCATTGCCGCATCAAAAGAACACATTTCATGTGAGCGTTTGTGGAGAGAGAGACAGATACGCGAGGAAATAAATAAGGAAATGAGTTGGCCAAAATAATGGAAAGCATTCCCCACACAGCAACACACACCTCTCACGACATGCAAACTGCCATAATAGAGCTAACAGCAGTTCAACGTCTCCGTCTCTACTATTTCTCTCCGAGTGCAACGATGAGGAAGCTGCCATCCTTAACCAGTGTGCCTTGCTCGTGATTTACCAGTGTCTGTGCTGCCACGCACACAATGTTTCAAAGGTGGTTTCTATGTTGCCCTTTATTTGTGTATGTATTTGCGATACGTGTGCATCTTTGCGCAATGCTGTTGGCCTTGCTGTTTGATATATATTGTGCCGCAGGCCCGCAGCACGTGACGGTTTTGTGTGCCCTCCCATGAAAATCATATGCCCTCCCTTTAGATTTGTTCTGGCGCCGGGTCTGTTGATCGTCCAGGATGACAGGCTGAGGTCCGGTGAACTTTCCCCCAGGAGGGAGTGCTCTGTCTGGGGGAGACCATCTGGCCCCTCCGGGAGCTCTCACACTGCCTCCACCCTGCTGGAGTGTCCTTTAGCAAGGGACACATTTAGAAGTCCCGGGTAGCTGCAGGGCTGCTGTTCTGGAAACTAAATCGAACCTCCTAATTTGTAACCTCTACTTAAAGTTATCAAACCTCTTATTTGTTGTCCCTCTTTCCTCCTGTAACTAATGACTACGATAATGTTTATCAAGTTTGTATACAAGTCTCTTTCCACTCTGTTATAGAATTTTAGAGGGAGTCATATTTAAAGGGGCCCTATTCTGCTCATGTTCAGGTGTTTATCAGTATGTAGTGTCTCTACTGGGACATGTCTCCATGCTTTAATGATCAGAAAGCTCTTTATTTGTCTCCCTGTGCTGCAGCACCTCTTTTCACCCTTTGTCTGAAACCAGAGCCCAGTCTGCTCTGATTGGTTAGCTGGCCAGCTCTATTAGGATTGGTTAACCGCCTAGAGATGTCCCGAACCTTAGCCTAAGAAGTACAATGTGTTGGAGCACTAGCCAATAGGAGATGGAGTGTTACATAGTGATGTCAATGGAGGTGTTTCAGGCAGGGGGGGGGGGGGGGAGTGTGGAGGGAACACAGGGATTTTAGCCTTTGCAGACCATTTACATGCACAGAAACCTATACAACACACTACAGGAAAGGGAACACAATAGAAGCATAATAGGGCCTCTTTAGGAACATTAAGGCCCAATCCCAAACCACTCCCTCGACCCTACCCCTCCGTGATGGAGTGAACTCCGTCTGTAGCCACACTCGCAGCTCAATGACGCTCCCTCCTGTCAGATGGAGGGAGTAAATACAGCAGCAAGCTTTGGGACGGCCTCCCCGGCAGAAACAGGAAATGCCGTAACTGTATGTAACAATGGTTTCAAATCAGCATCTCTTAGACAAAAAGTTTAAATGAATAACTCAAATAAAACTCCAAACATCTTTCATTGTGTTTCAAAGCTCTTTTAGTTTTAAACCTAATGTTTATAAGCTTCTTAGTTTTTGCAACTGTCTGTAAATATACACAGCTTTATAATAAAATGCACACATTTACCTTTTTCTAGACTAAACACAGGTATGATCCTAAGTTAAAACATATGAGGTTATCATGAGGTTGTTAACATCGCAATTTATCAGTGGATGTTTGCTGGAACTACTTGTAAACAGCGTGTTTCCTGACGGACACACACAGCGTGACTCCGGTCAGGTAGAGACCGGTCTCAAGTCAGCACCGCTGCAGCCTCGCTGTTTGAGGGCTTGATAGCCCACTCCCCCTCCACACTCGTTGCTTTGGAACAGCCCTCAATATGGCGGACCCTCCGCGTGAACGCGCAAACGGCCCCTCCGTTTGCACGTTTGGGTGTATTTCTATTCTGTCAACAAAAGACTTTGTGTATTGTCCAACAGATTTACAGATCATTTTAAGGCGTACTTAGCTGAAACATTTATTACAACTTCTTAGGGAGGCAACTTTTACCTTTTATTGCTGTAGCCTTCACGTTAATGTGATTCTGGTGCAAGTGTTCTGATTGAGTCGTGACTTTAAGGGAAAAGTGAACTTTTTTTGCTTTTTTCAAAATTAAAATTAAAATTGTGAGTAGCCTACAGTCATGTGCATGTCTAAGAGAGCCTGAACTCAAAACTCATATCGAGGCTACATATGTACTTGTTCTTGCTGTTTCCCGTATGACATCTTTATCCGTGTTCATCTCAATGAGGGAACTTGCTTCATGGATTTCAGACTTCAGAATATAAGCAAAAATATGTTTTTAATTGTGCAATTTGATCAATCTCAGTTTCATTTTAAGCGTTTTAACCCATTAAAAAAGAGCTTCCAGAAGGCAGCAGGCACAGTTTGACACATTTGTCTGACAGATTGTCTCCCTCTTGTTTCCAGGGGGAACCCGGGACATTGGCTCCGCCCTCACCAGGATGTGCATGAGGCACCGCAGCATCGAGACCAAACTGCGCCAGTTCTCCATGTGAGTTCATCTGAGGGCTGGGTACTGTTATCATGCTGTGATACAGAGACACTGCTTTCAAATAAAAGAGATACAAAGATAGAAACACTTTCTATTTAATACATTTGCATAATTAACACTTGAGTCCTGAGGGCTGACATCCTGGCAGAGAAATGTGAGTGTGGTGAACAGGTGTAGCATCTCCTCCCCCCTCCATGGCAACCTGCTTCTCCTCTTCCTCCCGCTTTAGCTTTCCATTCACCATCATACTCTCTTCCTGTGCAATTTCTAAATCTATCTTACTTCATCATTATAGTTGAAATGTAGTATTCTGATCTATTACAATATGTATTTAATTGGTTGTCTCAATTATTTGAAGAATTACATTATTTTGCCTCAAAATACAGAAAAACTCAAAAAGGCTGCTGTAATCAGGAACTGATGTCTAACAACACTGTAGGTTTATTGAAAGGCTTGGCAAATAAAAGCAGAACAAGGACAATGCAACAAATACAAGTATTCATGTCTAGTCTCCAAAAACAAAGGTGTCCACTAAAGATTAGGATTGACGTCAAACTGTTCCTATTTTAGTAGCCTAAAACCTACTTCAATGATTCCTGCCATTAAAAAGGACATTTCAATAACTACACAAGCCTAGTGTGTGAATATATCGAACATACTGTATGTATTACTAAAAGATATGAGTTAGCTCAGAATTACTTAGCGCTCCTTTACCCTTCTCTTTACACTTTGGCCCTGTTAGCTGCCTCCTGAAACTTTGATTGGCATTTTCGGCACATTCATCAATAATAAATATTAAAATAATCTTTAGTTGCTGCATTTTTTAACAGCAAAGTTTCATCATACATATGGCATGTTTTGTCTGATCCTGGTTTTAAAGTATCATCATCTTTTTGTAGTGAGGCTTGGTTCATTAATTATTCTAGAGCTAAGCCTTCTTAGGATACAAGGGCGGTAGGTTTGTATTCAGAAGTGGAACTGTTTTGTTTTTTTGGTGAATGAATTGCTGCTATTTCCTCTGACCTTACTTAAATCCTTTTCAAATTCCTTTTATAAATACTTGATACTTTCTGAAGAAGTCATAGTTTCATATTTACTAAAAAGGGCACTGTGCTATTCTGACTTATCCAATTAGTTTACTCTTGGCGTCTTCTAAGTATCATATATTATTGAAAGTGAAACCCTAAATCAGGGATCAGCAACAGGCGGACCGCGGTCCGGACCCAGACCCCAACCTATACGGACCCGGACTTATAATCAATACATTAATAGGGGATTTCAATTTTGACGGGCGATTCTATTTTAACCGCTGCCAACAGGGGGCGAAAGAGACGAGTGAGCGATACAGGGAGAGAAACACAGAAGAAGAGACGAGTGAGCGATACAGGGAGAGAAGAGGACGAGGACAGTGAGTGAAGAGAATAATTAGCGATACAGGGAGAGAAACACAGAAGAAGAGACGAGTGAGCGATACAGGGGAGAGAAACACAGAAGAAGAGACGAGTGAGCGATACAGGAGAGAACAGAAGAAGAGACGAGAAGCGGCAGATAGAAGCGGAGAGGACAGTGAGTGAAGAGAATAATTAGTGATACAGGGAGAGAAGACGGAGAGGAGAGTGAACAGGCGTGTTAGCGGCAGACAGGGAGAGACAAATAATGACACATGGCGCTCTCTAAGAAGAGGAAAGTGGACAGTGAGAACAGAGCTTTTAACCCTGAGTGGACGGACTCATTCATGTTCATCCTGCCCACTGGGAGCACAGAGTCAGTGTGTCTCATTTGTTCAGAGACCGTGGCGCTCATTAAAAGTGCAAAAACGCCACTATGAGACAAAACACAAAGTGTTTGACCAAACATTCCCTCTCAAGTCAGAACTGAGGTCACAAAAAATAAGCAGTCTCAGAGCCCAATATGATCAGTCGACCAGGATCAAAATTAAAACTAAATATTGTTCCAGGGCAGGCTAACCGAGGCTAACCAATGAGCACCTGCATGTGTGTGAGAATGGCCCTGACACCATTTCAGCCCAGATTTACAAACTCCTGGCAGGACAAGCTCCAGCTCAATTCTCGCACTGAATTAAAAAAAAGTGAGTGAGGGACTGCAATATAAGAGGGAAAGAAAGAGAAACTTTAAAAACTGTTCAATTGTTATGATGTGTAAAGACTGATATGGTTCTATAATCGTCTGAAACTGTTAAGTCATGATGTGAAACGGTTAACAAAGAAAAAGGGAAACTCAAGCTGCTTTATTTTATTTATCTAAAATTAAGCACTTTTAAGATGCACATATTTTCAAAAGCTATTTTATTTATTTTCTCCTATTTTATTTTTAAATAGAGCCCGAGAGGAACATTACACATAGCCACAGTATTTTACTGTATATCTGTATAGTTCAATGTTAATTGACAATAAATATTGTTGTTTTTGAATTGTGCTTTCTTTATTTGATTGGCAGTCAGTTGTTGATTACATGCAGACGTTGATAAAGCTACAGCTACTTCAATATATATCACACAAATTCATAAAGCAACTTAGACATTTTGATGTTCCGGACCTTTGCATGGGGACATTTTCTCTAACTGGACCTCGCTGAATTTTAGTTGAATACCCCTGCTCTAAATAATATGGCTAGCCTTTTCCATCACTAATGGCGCATTTCCACTGCAACGGGGTAGCCCCGTTTAAGCGTCCCTAAGCGTCCTCGCTCAGGCCTCGGGCTGCCTCGCTGGCCGTCCGAGGCCGTGGCGCATTTCTATTACAGTTTAGGACCCGGGGTAGCAACGCAGTGTAGGCGGGGCGATCGGCTTTGTTTTTGTTCACATTTCGAGTTGTTCCGTCGAGCTCCCGCTGGATTTGATCATCCCCAATGAGATGTAGGAACGTCGTCACCTCCTCGGTCGACCACGGTGTGCTTTTCTTATTAGACGTAGCCATTTTTGTAGCTCATCCGTTTACAAAATGCTGTTTATAAAATGCTGCAAGCTTGCTTCTAAATATATATGCGACGCTAGGGATGAACTCGCGCGCGCGAATCTTGTGACGATTCTCTCTGACCAATCAGCAGTCGAGAGTGTTGACGTCACTAGTTCAAGCCCTGGCCCTGGTCTGATAGAACCACGATTTAATGGGGCCGGAAAAAGAGGGAAAAAGTACCCGCTAGCCGGTACTAGGCTATATGGAAAGGCCACCAAAAACTGGCCTGGCCGCTTGAGGACGGTTAAGGACGCTTAAACGGGGCTACCCGCTGCAGTGGAAATGCGCCATAACATACCATTGGCAAGTGCATATCTCTTGTTTTTAATGACATCAGTTGGATGAAAAGGATTACATTGGTCAAACATATAATTCCACATGCTACAATGCGCTGAAATCAAGAAACATGACAATATGTTCAGCAGCAATGCACATTCATAATAAACCAACAAATCAGTTTTTATAACATAAATTCAAGCCTGTTGTGAAACCTTGACCCTTGAGGTTTCTTTATGTTGTGGGAACAGCTCTGATGTGTGTGTTTCTGTGTGTGTGTCTCCGCAGGGTGTTTCTGGACTGTCTGATCAACCCTCTACAGGAGCAGATGGAGGAGTGGAAGAGAGTTTCCAACACTCTGGACAAAGACCACGCCAAAGGTAGAAAAACACAGACAGACACCATGCACCTAGTCATGTGTGTCAACGTCTGGATGTTGTTTCTGAACCTCACTATTTATATATTTATGTGAATATCTGACACATATCTTTTGTTATTTTTGTGTTTCTCCACAGAGTACAAGAAGGCCCGTCAGGAGATCAAGAAGAGATCGTCTGACACTCTGAAGCTGCAGAAGAAAGCTAAGAAAGGTTTGCAATCTCTTTAGTCTGTGGTCACTTATGATCAATTATTATCACTCTTTTGAAAGAGTTGGAAGGATTGGAATGATTTTATTATGAGTGTGTCATAGTTACATTATTAGTGGTATTCATGTGGAAGTATTATAGTGGAATCATTTAATCATGTGTGGTATTGAAATTATTATGACGAGAACCAGCGTTGAAATCTAATTAAGTATAATTTTGAGGTTACTTTACTTGATGCTAATATAAATAGACCGAAGAATGTCATAATTGACCAATCAGAATTGATTCTTAAAGAAAGTTGCGTTAAAATAAATAAGATTCTAAATCAGGCAATTGTGCATAGTACATCCGTAACATTTAGTACTTAAAGGGGACCTATCATGCAAAATGCACTTTTTGATGTCTTTTATACATAAATATGTGTCCCCGGTGTGTCGGGGAACTCACAAAGTGTCAGAAAATAAAACCCTCTCTCTTTTCCTCCGTGCGCAAATCTCTAAAAATGGGGGTACAACGGAGCTGATCCAGATTTGCGGCCGATATGACGTAAATTACGTCATATCGGATGGTGGACCCACGGCACTATCAGAAATGTCGCTGTATCAGAAACAATTCCCGACGTGTTTTGGACGTAATAGTCTTTGTTTACATTAGCAAGCATCGCTAACACTCAGAGCTAACCTGTACTGGAGAGAGCATGTGTGTGAAGAAGCAGGAAATAAAAAGGAACTCACCTTGTGGTAAACCCTCAAGAGAGAACGCCTTTGAGCTCCATACTGTTTCAGAAATAATCCTTGATCTAATAATCCTTGCGTTTCATCACCGCAGCATTTTAGACAGTATCTGCCAGGTTCCGCATGAGCCGGCATAAGCTCCGCCCCCTCTTATACCCAGAATTAGCACTTTTGTAACAGGAAGAGAAATAGAGGGGTATGAGGCATGGCTAGAATGGGTGATCTGTTTGGTATCTTGATCAAAACACTTCCCAAAACCCTTTTTATTTTTTTATTGCCTAAAAATAGCATGATACAGTACTTATGTGACAAAATATAAATACAAATCTGTCTCTCTACACACATCAGTTTAAACGTTACTGATGACAAGCTGCACCTTTAAAGCATATTTAGATTCTTGACACATAAGTACTTTCATTTAAATACCTAATAAGTTAAGTGGAAAGAGTACATTTTACACTGTTGTATGAGTACTTTTACTTAAGTAAAAAGATACAATCTAGTACTTTCTTCCCACTCTAGATATGTGATAATTTTAAAGTTAATGATTTTTTTTCCTGTTCCAACAATGTGCCTCCTTCCCTTCCTGTGGTTGTCCCATCATGCACTGCTCCGTCCAGCTGATGTATTTGGTAAGCTGCTTTTCTACTCCCTTGCTTTTTACTTTTATGCATGATTATTGTAAAGACACAGGTACAATATTGTCTCTTGTCAAGACCCTGTGACCTATGACCCTTCATTACAGATTTTATTTGGAAATACTCAGCTTCCAGTGCTAATAATGGTATCTTCTTTGTCCTTTTAAAAAATCCCCTGAGCTTTTCAGTCTAGTTTGGTTTTAATATAGCACTATGGTTTTTGGCTTAAATGTGGCGGGTGGAGGTAAGCAGATATTAAATGTATTATCATGGTGAATACAAGACGGAAAGTGATGGTTTGTTAGATGTTTATCAGAAAGTCAGAGAACACATCTGCCGCCCTCACTTTCAAAATCCCTATCCAGCCTGCTTTGGTCGGCTGACAAATGTTCCCACGTTGTTTAGATGTTTGTGTGACTCACATAACCGAAGCCTGAACACAACAAAGAGCTGAGGCTCAAAGAGAAGGATTTTCCCAGCTCGTTTTGTAAAACATGATATATGTGGCACAATCCCACCACAACAAAACACAGCTGGGTAACTCACAAACTATACAACAATATGGAATATTTAAAGCATGATACAGCCTGGTTATTAATATATTTGTCACAGCTATAGTGGTATTATTTTGTTGGACAATAAGTAACGAGGAATGTCATACAGAAATGCTTTAAAGGAGACATGTCATGCTGTTCCGGTTATCACCCGTCCCCCTTGTGTGTTATGAAGATTTGTATGCATGTAAACGGGGTCTGCAGAGTCAAAAACCCTCAAAGTACACCCTGTAGCGAGTAAACTCTAACACAGAAAAGACCTCCCCAAAACGCCTCGTTGGAGATTTCTCTTCCTGGACATTGTGACGTCTGAACACCCAGTAGCCATGCCCAGAGCTATGACCATGCTGATTGGTCCAAATTAACCAATCCACGGGACTTCCTCACACACTCAGTGCAGGCAGCTCTGCTGATTTCTCCTCCCCTGGCTGCAGGCTGATAACAGACAGTTGGGGATCGCAGCGAAATTCTCTCTGCAGACCACATTCTCTCTGCAGACCCATTCTCTCTGCAGACCCATTCTCACAGCGTTTATCAACCTTTTTCTTACTCAATATCAAGCCACACTTATTGTTTTACCTTCGGCTGTGACTTTGTGTGTGCTCAGGATGAGTTTGGCTGTGTTTCGCTGTGTATCGCTAAACAAGGAAACAACACCTCCACGGAGCTCAGCGTTGATTCACAACGTCCCGACCAATCAGAGCACCACTGTGCTCACAGGGAGGGTGGGGGCTGGAGCTATTGGAGCTACAACGAGCCGTTAAAGGCAGAGAGTGAATCTTCAGTGAATACACGTTAGTTTTACAGAGATGCTGTATGAGAAACCAATGTGAGTTTGGAAAATTGCACCCAATATAAATCTATTCTAGTAGACCTCAACAATGGAATTATGATCAGGGGAAATGGTCATGACATGTCTCCTTTAAGATGTTTTTTCAGGTCCTTTAGACACAATGCTTCTATAACATCAATACACATGTGACTACCAATGAGATAATACAAGAAAACACTGAAAACCTCAGTCTGTGTTCGTAATCAAAGGACTATACATACTGCTGATGTATGTAAGTATGGGTGCACATAGTATGTGAATTCAGACTGTGACATGTGAGAAATGTCCCAACGTACAGTATAAACTAGATGAGCCTGAATTTCTAGTTCAAACGGACATCATGAACCACCCCAAAGTACATCGCAGGCTGTCCAGTGGCTGACTGATAGTTTCAACTATCAACCGTTTAAAATGACCACGGAAGATAGCCAGTGATGTTAAGGTGCAGATAAGAGGAAAAACACGGGAGCTCACATAATGTTCTGTGGAAAACCTATTGAACACTTAAATATTTAATACATTGAATTTGGCTAAAATAATACTGAAACATATTGCATTGAGTTTCAAAAGGAATTATTGATTTACATTTGTGATAACAATTCTCATTCAATGGTAGCTAAGATTGCTTGCATTGGGATCGATATGTGAGAAGGACGTGTTGATCGTGTTCACTTCAGTGTGAAACAGTCGGCTGGTTAGGGCACATTTAATTGTTAATTTTTGAAAGCATTATGCAGCTCACACTGTATACAGTATATAGTTTGCGATGTTCCTGTATAGTTTATTTTCTAGCTATTGCTAGCAGCTCTAGGAATGTCAGTTTTGGTCTATTCAGAAATGTGTTTCAGAGGGAAATATCTCAACAACTATTGGATGGATTGCGGTAAAATTGAATACATTACACACACACAGTCCCCCAAACAGGGTGAATTGTAGTGGCTTTGTTTGATCTCTGAATTGTTAAATCCAGGACAATCATCACGTCAACGTTTCTATTCCTCAACTGTGATTTGGGTTTACTGCTAATTAGCTTATCATTGCTAACATCCTTGTTTGCCATCTTGGCTTTTTTGGAGCCTGAAGTGATAGTTTTGGACAGAGAGTGGGAAGAGTGTGTGCAGTGAAGGCGCCCCCTGCTTGCTATTAAGAGAATGCAGTCTTAAAGGCACTTCACTTTCCACTCCAGATTGGGGGCCCCTTGGTTGATCACACACAGTAGGGTAGTTATCATGTTCCCACACAGAACAAATGTTTGCTGAAATTAGCCTACAATTTGTCACGTGTATGCATCACATTAAGAGTGTCTGACAGCTCGACGGGATCAGGCCCTCTATGACAGTGTTATTACTTTGCTCTACACACTGAGCTGCACAGAACCACAAATAAACAGCCAATGAGTCCTCTGCTTCTAGAACAAGTAGTTCCAGTCTGATTCACTCGAACTAAAACGAGTATTATGAGTGGAAACAAGAGCCTGTTGTTCCAGCCGACAAATAACTCGATGGCTTCCAGCTTTGAATTGAGCCTTAAGACAAACAACAGGGCCCAGGATTGACCCCAGAGGAACCTCAGATGTGGTCAAGTCTGCTTTGGTCGTCGGGGCCTTTCCAGACTGTTATTTACTGCACGATAGGAAACTCCCTTCTGCAGTGGAATGAATGTTACGAAGGAAAAAGAGATTTCAAAGAGGGAAATGTTGGAATGAAATCAATATAATGAGAGAGGGATTAAGTTTAAAATGAAGGGAATGAATGAGATGGAGAGTGATGGAGGGAGGAGTTCCCTTTGCCATCTGTCTGAATGATGTCAAAGATAATTATCAAGATTATTCATTATTAAGTACCCCAGTTGGCTTCTGCAGTGATCGTATTTGTAAACAAGAAACTGCTTTTCTGTAATTGCAGTACAAACTAGAGAAGTCTAATGTTCCCATTGACTGTTGATTTGTTGGCCTTGTATTGACAGTAAATAAACATATAATTGAGTCTGATCATTTCTTTATATGCACAAGTGTCCTTGACAAAGACCTTAAACAGGAAAAATATCTCTGTTGTATTAATGTTCAATGATCAGCGTGGAGCGTGGGACACAATATTCAAATTCAATTAACTAAGTTGGTCTAAAAAAATGAAGCTACACAGAGTACACACACAGTATGGATTGGATTTTAACTCAGATTCAGTGCCACATGACATTTAGTGGGTCCTGATGCCTGATTAGTTTCCTGAACAATTAACAATCTGACTGATGGACAGTCTGGTGGATTTCTGGCTGGTCAGATATTTTTGGTTGGCTGTCTGCAGTTCGAGCCATATGGCGAACCATTTGTTTTAGCATTTTTGTTGAAGAGGACATATTCTGCAGGTGTATATCAGTATGTAGTGTCTCTACTGTGACATGTCTCCATGCTCTAATGTTCAAAAAGCTCTTTCTCATTCTCATACTGCCTGTGCTGCAGCACCTCTTTTCACCCTCTGTCTGAAACCAGTCTGCTCTGATTGTAGCTCTGTTGTGATTGGTCAACCACTTAGAGATGTCCCGCCCATTAGCCTATCAAGTACAATGTGTTGGAGCACTAGCCAATAGAAGCCTAGCGTTACATAGTGATGTCATAATGTTATTGAGGTAAACAAAGGAGGCATTTCAGACAGTGGATGAGTGTGTGGGAGGGAACACAGGGATTTTAGCCTTCGCAGGCCATTTTCATGCAGAAAAACATACAAGACCACTACAGGAAAGGAGGACACCCCATAAAGCATAACAGGGACTCTTTAATAGTTGTTGGAGTCGTAGTAGTTGTACATGTTGTGGCCTCTGTGTGACTCACACTTTGCTGTGATGGAAGTCAACTGAACTTCAGACCATGATATCTGCATCTTTCCAGCCACTCTGCACTTCCACATTCCTCCTTTTTCTTATTGTCTTTCTCACAATGGCAACGCTGTTTTTTGTCTTTCTTTAAACCAGTAATGAATTCCCCGTGTGTTGAAGGATCTCTCAGCCCTCTCTTCCCTCTCTGTATCTCTGAAGCCCTCGGCTGAGCCGCTGCGCTCAGGCCGACCACAGAAGCCTCGGATGTTACTGGAGAAATAAAGATCTTTAATTACATGTTTATGTCTGTAAAGAACAGACGATGGGATTACCAAATGATCGTCTTAGAGAGGAAATTCTCCCCGAAACCCTCGTAAGAACAATAAAGAAGTCGACAGTTGCTTAAATGATTAGTTGATTTATTTTATAGCTTCTCCAAATGTGACGTGGTTGGAGAAACGGCAATAAAAGTGGCACTTTAGGCGCGTTCACACCGGAGTCCTTTTACCCGTACTTTTCCCGTTCAGTTCCGTTAGTGCCTGGAATTTTGCGTTCACACCAAAAAGAGTACTTAGTTCCGAGAACTTTTACCCCCAATAGCCACGTTCACACCAAGTACTTTGCCGTACTTAGTGTCCCGGCACTTATTACCCCAGGGCACTTAGTGCAGATCACGTTCACACCGGAATAAGTCCCTGAGGGAAGATTACGCAAATGAGCCGCTGACGTTCACTTCGTCTTCTTCTGCTTTGGGTTTACTGGCAGGCCGCAAACCACTTCACGGCGTATACTGCCGCCCAAAGTCCCCGGCCAGAAGTCCCCGCAGTTGGGGACTGGCTTCAGTAGAAGCTGCTGGGACTCCCAGCAGCTTCTACTGAAGCCTTCCGAGTAAATCGCCAGAACGCCGACACCTCCTCATCTCCACCGCTCCCATGTTTTATTTTGTGTTGCCATAAGTTAGTCTCTCTGCGTTTGTGCGCTGGGCGAATGCTAATAATGCTAATGCGAGGATAATAAAATGGAGGCTCTACAAAACATTTCAGAGTTTTACGGGGCGTGGTTTGCAATTCGCCCAGCCAATCAGAACTGGGGCACTTTTTTCCCCCAGGAAAGTACCATCTCTCAGCAGGCACTAAAAATGGGGGTAAAAGTTCCCGGCACTAAGTACTCTTTTTGGTGTAAGGGGTACTAATGGAACTAACGACGAAAAGTACGGGGAAAGTGCTCCGGTGTGAACGCGGCTATTTTTAGTGCTGCTAGAGAGGTGGTAACTATCCTGGGGAGAAAAAGTACCAATGTCTATGGCTGGCGATTGCAAACCACGCCCCGTAAAACTCTGAAAAGTTTTGTGAAGCCGCCATTGTAATTGCTGGCATTAGCATTATTAGCATTAGCATTAGCCCTGCGCACCAACGGAGAGAGAATATACTCTATGGCAACACAAAAGAAAACATGGGAGCGGTGGAGATGAGGACGGTGTCGGCGTTCTGGCGATTTACTCGGAAAGGCCTCAGTAGCAGCTTGCCTGGGACTCCCAGCCAGTCCCCAACTCCGGGGACTTCCGGCCGGGGACTTCGGGTGGCAGTATACGCCGTGAAGTGGTTTTGCAGTAAACCCAAAGCAGAAGAAGTGAACGTCAGCGGCTCATTTGCGTAATCTTCCCTCAGGGAACTTATCCGGTGTGAATGCGATCTGTACTTAGTTCCATGGGCTGGTTACTAAGTGCCGGCACTAAGTGCTGGCACTAATTACGGCCAAAAGTACTTGGTGTGAAAAGCGGCTTTTGGCTCTGTGGAATTGCGTTAACTGTTCACTCTTTTATGAAAAAATGTGTGAGATTTGTTGGACAAATGTGGAAACGATGTCCATGCAGTTCCACTGGAGGTGATCATTTAATAAATAAATAAATAAGATCCTCTTTCTTAACACTCTGAAAGCTCACAAAATGGAATAATGTGGAGTGTTAGCTGGATGTCAGCGGCTGGTTGTTACCCTGAATTGTAATAGGCTTTTGAGGTTTGAGGGAGGCTCTAACTATTGTTTTGAAGAGGTTCAGGGTTTGCTGCTCCTTATGAAAATAAAGTCCTGTTTAATGGAAGTAAAATGAAGATATGATTTCATGCTCTCTATTTCTTGTTCTGTCTTGCTCACTCACCTCTAATACCTGGATAATGATGTAGTGCACTACATTATATTTATTTTACCATTATACATAGAGTATGTTCAGCCATTAATGCCAAATCCTTGTCAGTGAAGAAGACCTTTCCCTGGTCATTGACTGCTGTTATGCATTCATCACTAGGGCCTTTAAACGTCACTTTCCTTTGACCTGAAAATATCGGACATCATCAAAATATACTGCATGTCTTGTTTTATGTTTCTTATGCTGGTGTTGTATTGTGTATCTTGTTTTTTATGTGTTTGTACGGCAACCCTTGAGAGCCTTGAAAGGCGCCCTGTATAAATTAAATTAATTATTATTTATTATTATCATGTCAGTAAAGCTGAAATGTATCCGATTAGATTAGAAATTAATAAGTAACATGGTTTTTAATTGAATAATGTTTCGAGAAAATTGTTTCAGACACTTCGAAAGCTCTTCCCACACTTCCTAATGTTCTGCTTTTTTTTGCAGCAACAGCTTTTCACTTATTTAGCGTTGTTATGTATTTATTTATAAGTGTGTGTGTGTGTGTGTGTGGTGTGTGTGTGTGTGTGTGTGTGTGTGGTGTGTGGTGTAGTGTGTGTGTGTGTGTGTGTGTGTGTGTGGTGTGTGTGTGTGTGTGTGTGTGTGTGTGTGTGTGTGTGTAGGCCGCGGGGACCTCCAGCCTCAGCTGGACAGCGCCATGCAGGAAGTGAATGATAAGTACCTGCTGCTGGAGGAAACGGAGAAGCAGGCGGTGAGGAAGGCGCTGGTGGAGGAGAGGAGCCGCTTCTGCTGCTTCGTCACCATGCTGAAGCCTGTGGTGGTCAGTCAGTCACACACACACACACACACACACACACACACACACACACACACACACACACACCACAAAAAAATAGACTCTGACTGTAGAAAGTAACTGATCAACAGAAATGTATACTTCTATAAAAAGCCTGCATGCTAAAGACCCAGGAGTGGAGTGCACCAGCTGGGCGTAAGCTGGGCGTAACTCTACGTCCGACGTAGAACCGAAGGTTAAGACCAAACTAAAGTTATGACTAGTGCACCACTTAGACTTAAGCCCTGTATGCGTTGCGCCCGGGTGTTGTAACTTTTACGCCTAGTATGGAGCAGGCGTAAATCGGAAAGACAGACTAGTATCCATAGCAGGGCGGCGTCAGGGGGGAGCTAGGGGGTGCTGAAGCACCCCCCAGGATTGCCAAAGCACCCCCAAGAAATTATTTTGTTTTTTGTTTTTTTTGAAAATTATTATTATTATTTTATTAAATTAAATCAGAAACATTATTGATTACATCAATGCAAATGTGAAACAAACAAATGTTGACCAAAAACATAAAGCCAACACAGGTGATATGATTAGGCCCAATGACCAGCACCCATTAGATTTTTGACCTACCCATAGGCTAAATTACTTTGTGACACTTGAGTGACTTCCTGTTAGCTGGAGCCCCACATTATTTGCTAACAGCAAGTGACAAATGGATCGTTTTTAGTCCTTAAACGTCCACATGTGGACACTCAATCAAAACCAACTGAAAGCGAGAGGGATTCTGCACATAATAGGCCTGTGAGTACAAGTAGCCTAGTAGTAGTAGGGTCTCTGTGTTCATTCAAGCTCTGCTCTGTGTGTGTGTGTGTGGTGGCACGAGCCATTTTGTGGTGCGTGCGCAAGCGAGCGAGAGAGAGAGCTCGCGCACCGGTGGGTATCTACCGGAGATCGTTGTGGTTAGCATCTGGTGCTAGCTAGCCCAAGCTAACGGATATAAGGAGCTTTTTCAACAACAAGGTGGAGGGAGAACTCTCTCCTGTCAGACGGAGAGTCTCAGGTAACCTCAGCTCAAGTGAAGTAAAGGACTCTCAGTGTTTAGATAGTTAACTTTAGGTCTAGTTATCTCAGTGGGTCTCAAACGGTTGTTTTAAAAGGGGGAGTGATTTGTAAAATATCTATAAAGAAATAGAAAATCTGTTTACAGTTCTGTTTCATATGTATGTTGAGAGATACAGTATATCCATAGATCTCTTCATTTTGCTCTCGAAGTGCACCAGATTGATGCTTTTAACTTCAATATTTTAAAAAAAAGACCCCACTAGAGAAGGTGAGGACCCTCCTAGAGGAGGTGAGGTCCACCCCCCACTTGTAAAAAATAGCACTTTACCCCTGCTTACACCTATATGCCGTGAGCTGATTACCGAGCCTTCATTGTAACAGTCGCGGGTACACTGTGTGTGCGTGTGGGGAGTGTTGCAGTAGAAAATTCAACTGTAGCGCTGGTGCATTAATGGGAAACCCTTAATGTTTGAGCAAGCTACCCCACAGCACCCCCTAGAGAAAATCTCTGGCGCCGCCACTGATCCATAGTAACGTAAACAGGCAAGAAGGATATTAACGATGGCCTAGGGCGTCTTTGTTTACATGTTTAACAATGAAAGGGCATTAAGAAGAGTCTCAATTTCTCCTTCTCCAGCTAAAATGTTTCGTGTTCCGCTCTCAATTTGACGGTCTCCTCCACCTCCACACGAACGATTTATTTCTCCGTCAGTTCCCGCTGTGGCTCTGACAAATCCCTCTTTCTCTTTCGGGGTGTGGCCATTTGGGATTCCCCCTTGAGTCATCGAATGGACGCTGTGGGTGTGGGAATTCCCTCTTCTCTGCGGTGCCTCTGAGTCTGTAAAATGGCGTTGCTTGGCAACAATTACTGTTTCGCGTGTATTCACGTGGAAGCACATCTAAGACCAGGCGCAGCTACGCCCGAGACTAGTCAGGCTTGGTGCACTCGGTGTAAATTCGAATCCACTACGTCGGACGTAGCTAAGCCCGACGTTAGAGTTAAGCCCTACTTGTTTACGCCCAGCTGGTGCACTCCACTCCAGGTGGTGATTGTGTTACAAAGTGCAGTGAGGAGGTTTTGTTGTACATGTTTGAGCGTGGTTGCTGTGTGTGTGGTCAGGAGGAGGGAGATGTCCATGCTTGGGGGAGATCACTCACCTCCAGACCCTCACAGACGACCTGAAGGCTCTGACCATGGACCCCCACAAGCTGCCCCCCTCCAGCGAGCAGGTACACCTCCTCACCTGAGAACCTACATATCTGCTGACCCAGGATCCATCCAAGGTTCCTTTAGTGTTTCATCTCAATTATTCAAGTATAAGTGAGTCAAATCTTTGGTTATGAATCCTCAACATTGTAGTAATAATAGCAATAAAATGAACAACAAAAAGACACTAAAATAGCAGTGCAATATTTTACAATAGTATAAATAGTGTACGTATATAGTAGTCAGTGTTGGGGAGCTAAGTACAACAAAATGGGAGAAAGTACAGCTAAGCTACCCCAGGGAGAACAACTAAAGCTACTGTAGATGGGATTCAAAGGTTGTACTGACATGTGCATCATCCAAGGCTTATCTTATCAAACCGTGCAACATACAATAAACTTAAGATATACAAGGAAAACAATTGATAAATAGTACATGAGACACAATGGTGCAAGTCAAATGCAGGAATATATACTCAATTGAGTTTTGTTTTTTTAAGTCCACCTGTTTACAGGCCATCAATAAACCACAAACAACTAAATATATCCACCAAAAAAGTAAGTATTGAACTTGCACCTTTTGAGCCAGTTGGAGCAACTTGAACACTGGATCAGTTTTGTAATCTTAACATCTTAAACAGTCTGGCAGCTGACACTACATGAAGATGAAGTGTGTATGGTGGTGGCAATGCATTACACATTTTGTTAGGGGGGAGTTAAATTACAAATAGTAAAATAATAATTTTCTTTGATGGCCTAAAACGGCCTCAGTTGTATTAGTTAACTACACAAATAAATGGCAAAGGAAAAAAATGGAAGTTGTCCTGACCCTCCCCTCTGTCCCTCCAGGTGATCTTAGACCTGAAGGGCTCTGAGTGCACCTGGTCCTACCAGACCCCCCCCTCTTCACCCAGCACCACTGTATCCAGGAAGTCCAGCATGTGCAGGTTGGTAACCATGGCCACAGAAACTGCCCATCATCTCAACCAGCTGATTTATTATCTGATCTGTTCTCTGCTGCCTCCCTGTGGCCACTAGGGGGAGCTGCAGCTTCACTAGGACCTCATGAAATCTGTTATTTCTCTGGTTCATTAAATACTTACATTTCAAAGAAGATAGATGGATAGAATGGGAGGGATGAACCCCTCTGTAATGGTCACACGTGCAGAGCACAGAGCACACACAGTGACATCTGGCCTCTGCATTTTACCCATGAATTTGAAGTGAAAATGTGTGCTTGAAATAAATTGATTTACAACAAATAAAGGCAGTTATGTTGAAAATCAGGAAATAAACACATTTACAAGAAGTACTTACAAGAAACATAGAATAAGAACAAAATGAATAAAATATGAACATAAATAAGATAAAGCGCAAATGTTCAAATGATGGTGATAGTGACATGCAAAGATTTGTGCACTAAATGATGGCACCATTTGAAATGAAGATAGTGTTTTTTTCACAAACAGCTTCTCAGTAACCCCCCTCTCCCCCTGCAGCAGCCTGAACAGTGTGAACAGCAGCGACTCTCGCTCCAGCGGCTCCCACTGCCACTCCCCCACCTCCCACTTCCGTTACCGTGCCTCCTCCTCCTCCTCCTCCTCGGTGCTCCCCCAGCAGGCCCCCGCCCGCCTCTCCTCGGTCTCCTCCCACGACTCCGGCTTCATCTCCCAGGACGCCTTCCAGTCCAAGTCCCCCTCACCCATGCCCCCGGACGGCTCCCAGGTGAGGACAGAGTTCACCATCTTACTGAAACATACTGTTCTTCAGCCAGGTTGCTAGGACACTATATGATCATTAGGTGAAGGCTTCAGCTCGTGTGTGTGTGTGTGTGTGTGTGTGTGTGTGTGTGTGTGTGTGTGTGTGTGTGTGTGTGTGTGTGTGTGTGTGTGTGTGTGTGTGTGTGTGTGTGTGTGTGTGTGTGTGTGTGTGTGTGTGTGTGTGTGTGTGTGTGTGTGTGTGTGTGTGGTGTGTGTGTGTGTGTGTGTGTGTGTGTGTGTGTGTCAGAAGCTTATAGCACACAACTGATCTGTGTATGTGCTTTGCCTGTGTGTGTATATGTTGCATGCAACCTCCTATAACCCTGTCTGAGCCGACTCCCCCTTCTCCCTCTCCTTTGCTTCTCTGTTGTCATAGTAGGGTGATCTCACATACAGGTGGACTTGTTTATTTGGATTGAACTAACAGGGATGTAGTCTAAATCAAGGTTATTGCAGGTTTAGCTTATGTTTGGATTCAAAATGAATACTAAGAATATTCCATGTAAGCCTTCAATTGGCAGTAATACGTTTTGAATTGTAAAACAATCCAATAAGAGACAAACTAAGTTCACCCAATTTTAACAAAATAACATATATTTAATTTGTACACTTGAACTGGTATACAGCTGTCTCCAAACACTTTCCCACCTGGATACTACCTCCTTAGTTTTGTCTTGTTTTACCTGTTCCGTCAACCATGCACATTTATTAGGAGTAAAAGTAGCTTTATCCCTAATAATTAAACAAAATACATTTTTACAAAAGGAACACAGTTACTCCAGTGGACTATATTTTTCTGGTTGTTCTTATACATCAATGTATGTTTTCTTTTTGGATGCAGCAAGATTTTTGTTGGATTATATATATCTAATGCATTTTGTATGCATTTGTCAAACCTCTCTGACACTAACGGCCCGTCCACACAGCAGCGTTAAAAAAATCTTCCAACGCTTCTGCCCATTCACTTTGAATGGGGTGACGTCACGTTGTCTCACTTTTCGCCGAACTGCATTGTGGGAAGCAAAGCGAAGATTTCCAGGATTCAAAAGTTGAGCAATGTTCAACTTTTGAATCTTCTGAAGCTTTCGGTAGAAGCGTCAGCCAATCAAATCATATGCCAGTACAAGCTCTAGCCAATCAAACCGCTGCTTGTGTGTCAGGGGCGGGAGATTCATGTGATTGGTTGTTGGTCGAGCTTCAGACACGCCCGCCGGCAAGCTTTTTCCAAAGCCGCTGTGTGGACGTACCGGAGACACGTTGTTCTGTTGTTAATGATGATTCTGAAAGTCTTCTTCTTCCTGTGTGTGCTGCTACAGCTGATTGGTTGTTTCATTTCACGAGCTAATTATTCTGCTGACTTTGAGATTCTCTTTTTATGACTAACCTGCATCATGTTTCTGTTTCTCTCTGTTTCTGTCTATTTGTTTTTCTTGGCCTTTCTCTCTGTGTGTGTGTGTGTGTGTGTGTGTGTGTGTGTGTGTGTGTGTGTGTGTGTGTGTGTGTGTGTGTGTGTGTGTGTGTGTGTGTGTGTGTGTGTGTGTGTGTGTGTGTGTGTGTGTGTGTGTGTGTGTGTGTGTGTGTGTGTGTGTGTGTGTGTGTGTGTGTTGCATGGCTCTGCTACAGTCCTGTGTCTCTGCTTTATCTGAGGAGCCCTTCCTCTTCCTCCTCTTCCTCACCCTCACACAACCAAGAGGTGAACATCTGAAAACACACCCATATATACACACACACACACACTCACACACACACACACTTTGCTAAGGTGTGTTAGGTCTGTAGTTGTGTGTGTGAAGGTGTCACATGGAGCATCAGGGTTATTACAATGATGTTGACTGTTTGTATAACAGCAGAAGCCTCTGCCTGTTGAACCTCCATTCAGTATATCACACATTTGATCAGATCCACTTATTATTATGCATTTGGATGAAGAGGTTCTTGAAAATGAGGCGTGTCAGATTTAGTAGTCTCCTGACACGTCATTCAACATTTGACATAACGTTGTTTGGTAAATAGAATAACCTGAAGTAAAAATGAAAGAATAAACAATCAGAAGAACACAGAATGAAAACAGACTTCAAAGCAGAGTAACAGAGTCCCCATGTTCAGTTTGGATTGTGGGAACAGTCAGTTATGAAGATTGGTCCTGAGAGCTGATCATGTCTGCCTGTTAGCCTTAGCAGAGGCTGACATACATCTGCAACAGATCTCTGAACCAGACCTGCTCCATGTGGAACCTCCTCTTCATGTTTTCACATCCTCAACAGTCCTCACCCTCACCTTTTTAATTTGTGCATTGTGTCTCTTCCTCTTCCTCATCCCCCCCTTCAGTTGTCAAATGGTTTTGACCATCACGCTGCCCTC